ATACATAAGTAACCTCAAAAATTCTACCAGAGAGCTCCTACAGCTGGTAAACACCTTCAGCAAAGTAATTGGATACAAAAATTAACTCCAAAAATTCAGTAGCCCTCCTGTATGCAAATGATAAAGGGGCTTAGAAATAAATTAGGAAAACAACACCCTTCAAAATAGCCAAAACAATATACAATATAAAATATCTTTGTGTAACTCTAACCAAGCAAGAGAAAGACATGTATGACAAGAACTTCAAGTCCTAAAAAAAAGGAATTGAAGAAGATATCAAAAGGTGGAAAGATCTCCTATGCTCATGGATCAGTAGGATTGACATAGTAAAAATGGGCATCTTACCAAAAGCAATTTATAGATTCAATGCAATTCCCATCAAAATTCCAATACAATTTTTTACAGATCTGGAAAGAGCAATCCTCAACTTCATATGGAAAAAAAAAAAAAAAAAAGCCCAGGATAACTAAAACAATCTGTACAATAAAAGGACTTTCAAAGAAATCATGAAATTTGCAGGCAAATGAGTAGAATTATAAAATATCATCATGAGTGAGGTAACCCAGAACCAGAAAGACACTAATGGTATATAATCATTTATAAGCAGACATTAGCCATATAATACAGTATAATCATACTAATATTCACAGACCTAAAGAAGCTGGATAACAAAAAGGGCCCTAGGGAGGATGCTTGAGTCTCCCTCGGAAGGGGAAATAAAATAAACACCTGAAGTGCATGAAGAAAGAAAACTGGGTGGGAAAGGGAGTTAGAAGGGGATCAAAGGTGGGGCTCAGATGTGGGAGAGTTGGGATGGGAGAGAGCTGGGAGAGAGAAGGAAAACCGACGGGAAGGGCATCTCTGGGACTGGCTGGAGACCCATGCTACCCAGGGTAGGCTCCTGGGAGGATATGGGGGTGGCTGTAGCTGAGAATCCTAGCTGCAGGGGATATGGAGACTGAAGTGGTCAGGCAGACTTCCAGTGGAGGGAGGGGCACACCAACCCACCCACAAAACCTCTGACCCAAAATCTACCCTGCCAACAAGGTGTGCAGGGATAAAAATGGAGCTTGATTGAAGGAATGGCCAAAAAATGACTGGCCCAGCTTGAGACCCACCCCCGAGAGAGAGCTTACCCCTGTCACTATTAAGAATACTCTGCTATGCTTGCAGACAGGTGACTACCATAACTGTCCTCTGAGATGCTCCACCCAGAAGCAGATCAAAACAGATGCAGAGACCCAAAGCCAAATATTGGGTGGACCTCAGAGAGTCTTGTGGAAGAGTTTGGGGAAGGACAAGGGACCCGGAGGGGACAAGAATTCCACAAGAAGACCAACAAGAATTCCACAAGAAGAGGACCATGGGAGCTCACAGAGACTGAATCACCACATGCATTAACTGGACCTAGGTCCCCTACACATATGTAACTGATGGGCAGCTTGAGGGTTCCCTAGGGAGTGGAGCAGGGACTGTCTCTGACATGGACTCTGTTGCCTGCTTTTGGACCACTTCCTCCTAGCTGGGCTGCTTTTGGGCTTCAGGGAAAGAGGATGCACTTAGTCCTTGATGTGCAGGGTTGGGTTGTTGTTTCTAAGAAGAAAGGGAGGGGGAAAAGGAGAAAGAGGATGAAAGGACAGGACCGAAAGGAGAGGAGGATGGGGTTGCAATAGGGATGTAAAGTAAAAAAAAAATTAAAAAAAAAAATTTAAACCTGTTGTTGGTATAATGTTCTTTGGGATGTATACAATTTACCCTTGTTCATTCAAATGCTGATTTCTCTCCCCAACTATCTGGTTTCAATCCAGACATTGCACTGTGATGTTTATATTCTAAGCATCACCTGTCTCAAGTTTGTATAAACATGCCACCATTTGTTCTCTGTATTTGTCAATTAAACAACCTGCCCCAATTCCGAGCAATGGAGAGAATAGAGTGGGACATCCTGGTCCGGAGAAGAGAGAGAGGAAGCAGGAGGAAGAAGGCAGAGGTCAGCAGGAGAGAACTAAAAGCAAGTATAATGGGTGAAACCTGAATGGTAGGAAACTTTGTGGCCTTGGAGGTTTAGGATGGAGTAGCTATTGCCCAGCATTATACTCTAGTTTAATTAAATAAATCTCAGTCTCTGTGTAGTGATTTGGATATACAGCTGGTTTAAGGAATAACCATTGCTTAAATAAAAGATAAACCGATAATAAATATTAATAACCCACAATAACCTGTATACGAGAAAGACAATGCAGACAGTCCTGATGAGACCTGATAGACTAGGGCCAGATGGAAGGGGAGGAGGACCTCCCCTATCAGTGGACTGGGGAAGGGTCAGGGAGGAGATGAGGGAGGGAGGGAGGGATTGGGAGCAGACAGGGAGGGGGCTACAGCTGGGATACGAGTGAATAAATTGTAATAAATAAAAAATTAATTTTTTTAAAAAACCCATATACAAATAGTTATAAAATTATTCCTTTAATAAGTAAATTGATAAATTTATCCATAACATTTGGTTGTATATATATATATATATATATATATATATATATATATATATATATATATGTTACTTTTAAGTATATAAAAGAAAAAATTATTTGGCTGTTAACCCACTAAGAAACATGATAGAAACTTAGATATTTACCCTTACCCAATCTGAAAGGGCTTATTCCCCTTTATTCTAAATATAGGACATTCTGGAAAAGGTATAAACTCCAGGTAGAGTGAAAAGTTAAGTAATGGCTAGGAGCAAGAAGGATGGACAAAAGAGGGGTCCATGCTTGACACATCATAATGAAACTGATGAGAGACACATGTGCAGCAAACGCTTTAAGTGCAGTGAAAACGATGATCAAGAATGAGAATTTCAGTGGGACATTCATATACAAAAAAATAAACCTATGGACTAATACCGCTTCATCATGCAGACCAGACCAAAATGTAAAACCTAAAATTATAAATGTCCAGGAAAATATGGGGAACAACTCAACCTCTGTGGCGTTTAATTGAGTAAAAACTGTTCATCAGGACATAGAAAGCACAATCATAAAAGAAAATATTGATAAGTCAAATCCTATCAAATTTAAAAATTTCTCTTTGAAGGATTTTACAAAAAGAATATAGAATATGATAAAATACTGTAAAATATACCCAGAATATATGAAGCTTCAAAACCTAATAGGCTGGAGATGTGGCTTAATCTAAACCATGCTAGCCCAGCATCTGCAAAGCCCCAGGTCCAATCCCTAGCACAATGACAATAAAATAAAATAAACCTGGCCAGGCATGACTCATGCCTGAAATCTCAGCACTTGAGAGGCTGAGGTAAGAGGATTGCTGTGAGCTTAAGACGGCCAGGACTCCATAATAAGACCTTCTCCCCAAAAGCAAACTAATAAACAAACTTAAGAAAACAGTCCAACAGAAAATTAGCAGATTTGAACAGGCATGACTAACAAGAACATTTACTTAATAAATAAGCACATGAAGATAAGCTTAGGATCATTAGGTATTCTGCATGCAAGTTAAAACCACAGTTTGAAAACTAAATGCCTCCTAAAACAGCTGGTCAACAACTCCTGCCAGCGTCAGTGCTGAGGAGTGAGGCACTGAGGTAACACACACTGCAGCTCTCAGCAGCGAGGAGCCCCAAGTGACGTGTCCAGTCTGGTCCTCCGGCATCTGGACCAAGCCGACTGGCCACAGAACAGTGACAGAAAACAGACTGGTGGCCTGTGGAGAGAGAGAACGCCAAGTGCAGAGTGGTGGTGTGTGCTCTTGAGCTTGAACAGGAAAGGGACAAGACCAGGGAACAGGGACGAGAAGGGCTACGCCTGATCTTTCGGCCAATGGGACCTCAGCTCCTACAGGAAGAGGCCAGTCAACAAAGGTACTGCTGTCCGAGCCCAGCTGTTGGCCTAATGGCTCGGGGGCTCAGAGTGCAGGGCCTGCCTGTGCGGACAGTGTGGCTCAGACAAACCCTCCACCTGCCCAAGAAACAGGGGCGGAGGGCTAGTGTGAGAATCAAATAAGCCCATGTACGTACAGCACTTAGAGGACATGCTACAGGTGGGAAACTATCGCTCTTATGTCTGTGTATGTCCGTGTTCCCGTGTTTGCACATGTCTGAGTAGGTACACATGTGGATATGTACTTGTGGCCAGAGGGTGACATCAGTGTCTTCCTTGATCTTTTTTTTTTTGAGACAGGGTCTCTCATTGTGTCTAGAACAGTGGTTCTCAACCTTTCTAATGCTTCAACCCTTTAATACACTTCCTCGTGCTATGAACCATAAAACTACTTTCATTGCTACTTCATAACTAGAATTTTGCTGCTGTTATAATTCATAATGTAAATATCTGATATTCAGGACATCTGACAGGCAACTTCTGTGAAAAGGTCAGTAGACCCCCAAAGTGGTCAGAACACACAGGTTAGGAGACGCTTGTCAGCTGGTAAGACTAGCTAGCCAATGAGCCCATCTGATGACCCAATCTGACCACAGATGAGCACAGTACAGCCAACTGAAAAGGGCGGGGTGCTGGGCATCTGAACTCAGACTCACGTTAGATGGTACGAGGTAACTCTTTCTTATAGCTTCAGGAGCTCACCAGCCGGGCCACAAGAGTGCACACGTACTCCTGTGCCCTGCCCACTTAAGAATCCCGACTCAGGGCTGGGAGTGCAGCATAACTGTGCCCCACCTGCACAGGTCCAAAGTTTGCTCTTCAAAACCATACTCAATCTAAAATTTTGTTAGGGATTTTTTTTTTTTTTTTTTTTTTTAGAATCCACACATTTAACATGAAAGAATACCCCAAACACGATTGGCCACTCAATGAGGATTATCACTTGACTGGATTTTGGGTTTCTCTGTTTATGAAATGCCTCTTTTGTCCAGAGCCAAATCTCATCCTGTGGATAATCTGAATGAATAAAAGCACATAAAGTTAAAACTTCAGTGCTCAAAGCTGTGAGGCGTTTCTCAAGGGCAGAGAGACAACACTAACCAGTGGAAAATGTTGGGGTCCTAAAGGCCCAGAGACAATCGCTCAGCCTCACATAATGATGTATCCTGGAGTCTTCTCGTAAGTCCCATACAACCACAGAGCCATGCGCTGTTCCCGCAAAGAGCAAAAACGCTTTTAAAGGGCTAAAGCAGCAACATGTGACCTGAAAAGTAAAGCACAGAAAGTTAGCTGGCTAAAAATCATGACAGCCACATTCACAAAAAGTATGGCATCTGGCACAGATAAAGTGTCCCTGTCACAGGCTGTGGGTAGCACAGACCTGTGCAAATGAATAAAATCAACCAGCAAACGGTGGGCCTTTTCACATGGACAGTAGAACAAGAAATGCACTGTGTAGGAACAGGGTCACAATAAGGCATCCAGGACACACCTGGGCACATAAAATGTGTGGAATGATCCTTTCCATTCAGTACAACTGTTTATACCTCAAAAGTGCTAAGTCCATTTACTTACGGCTTTCACTACAGATTTACTCATTTTCAAGATTCTAAAATTGGTACCTGAAAAGGTGCTCCTCACATATTTAGAAGAAATTTATGGTTTGAGTAGATAAATGGACATAAAGACATTGTACTTCTCAATCACAAATGAAGTAAATATGAAAGGGAAGATAGCCAGTGGACCAGAGCCATGCAGAAGGCAGAATCAGAGTAAGCGGCAAAGGCATTCAGTGCTAGCCATTTTAAGAAATTGCATAAGGCATGGAGGGGCACTTTTATAATCCCTGTACTCAAGAGGTAGAGGCAAGAGGTCAGAAGCTCAAGGTCATCTGCAGCTGCACAGAGAACTCAGGGCCAGTCTGGGTTACATGCTTCCTGTCAGGAAAAGAAAGAAAGGAAAGAAGGAAGAGAGGGAGGGAGGGAGGGAGGGAGGGAGGGAGGGAGGAAGGAAGGAAGGAAGGAAGGAAGGAAGGAAGGAAGGAAGGAAGGAAGGAAGGAAGGAAAAAATAAAAATCACAAGAATATTAAGACATCTTGAAGTGTCAGGGCCAAAATAGCATGATCCAGATATCCTAGCCTTATGCCCATCTTGACCATGTTTTTATTAAGCCTGTAACTATGTTCATTTGCTAATTTTCAGGTGACTGAGAGCCTCCTGCAAAATCATCCTGGGTTTTTCAGTCTGAAATGATCTGTTAAAGTATGAATTTCTGGAGTCAGAACAAATGTGTTTTGTCAACTATGTAGAGCCAAGGGCACTAGAAGCAGGATGACTTCTGCCCTCATTCTGTCTGTTGTCTTTGCACCCTCTCTTTGGTGTATTCAGTGTCAGGTACTACCCATCTAGAAACATGAACAGACTTCTCCTGAGTAATACCTTTGACTCACATATCAGAACCTTCTGGGGCCCTGAAGGCTGCCAAATATCCCACACACAGAGGAGGTGCCTGGTATCCAGAGATGGGGCAAACGCCTTTTCAGGTAAGTCATGAACAGACACCACAATCTGCCTCTGAACTCGAGAGGCATGCAAACAGGATACTTTCCGACCTGGAGAGAAGAAACATTTTGTACTTTAGCATTTAAAACATTTCGGAATCCTCACATAAACTCCAACTCAATGAAAAGAGAGCATGGTCCATTCAAAGCTAACCAAATAGAAAAACTGGAGTGTTGGGGAGACAAGTTCCCACACACTCATGGTTTCCCTCAACTCAGTGTGTAGCTGAGCATGACCTTGAACTTCTGATCTTCCTGCCTCCACTCCTTAGTCTTGGGATTACAGGTAAGTGCCACTGTGTCCAGATTATGCTAAGGACTTGACTGCAGGCTTTATGCTGGGAAAGCACTGATCCCAGTGAGCTAGACTCCCAAACCCAAAACTGGAGGTGTGATCAGTGCCTGCAGCCTGTACCTGAAACCTTTGTCCACACTGACCCTGCAGCTTGAGTAAAGGGGAATCCTTTGACTGTGGTGTGGCATACGCAGGTCAGCAGCTTCCTGTCATCTACCAGCTCCTCACACCAAGCGCATGGAGTCAGAAGCGCAGCAGCAGCTGGAAATGACTGCAGGGGCCTTCCTGACCTGGCATGCTGCTAGGACACTATTCTTAGGAACCTCGGCCTCTTTAAAGTGGCCCTCCTAACTCCACGTAGAAAATGAACCCAAAGCTAGGTGTAGCCTTCCAAGAATGAATTCTGAGACTTCTGTGGCAGAGCTACTCTCCCTGCAGCAGAGCTGCTCGCCCTGCAGTTTTCACTTGGCACAACTGTTGATGAAGTGAAGAAACAGTAGGATGGTGAGAATTTTATAGTCAGAGTGTTGATATGGGAAGTACCCGCTGAGTAAAACTACATCTGCCAACCCGATACGCATTGCCCATGGCCACTAGTTGCTGAACCATCACAGGCCTGGATCATCCATGCTTGGGCTCAAACTTGTCCTCCCACTTCACCTCAGCTACTCAGAGCCACTGCCTCGGAGCTGCCTCCTCAGGCAGCCTGAAGAAAGGGATGACAACGGTCATGTGTCCCTTCACCAGTCATGGGCAAAACTCTGCTACCATTGCTACTGTGTTTCTGCTGTGAGCGTGTGCAAGCATGTGCACACAGTGGGAGGACAAGCATGTGTGTGCAAGTCAGAGGACAAGTTCATGGAGTCGGTCCATGAACTGAACCCAGACTGCCAGGCTTGGGCACCAAGTAATGAATGACCCAGCAAGTCATCTCACAGGCCTGCTTTCAAGTTTTCAGTGGCATCGATAGGGCTCCTTTTCTCTTCTTTGCTTATATATTTTGAGTCTCTGTGTGAACACGTGCACAAGTGTGCATCCTCGTGTACCATGTGTAGGGGTCAGAGGACAAATTGCAGGGGTCAGTTTTCTCCTTCTGCTATGTGGGTTCTAGAGACCCACACAATGGGTTGTCAGCCTTGGCAGAAACTACCTTTACCACATGAGCCACCTCACCAGCTCAAAACTGACAAGCTTATGACTGCTGTACTCTTATTTCATTTTCTCGATGACTTTGTGGGCGTTGTCACCCGTCTGCTTGAGAGCAGTGATGTTTAGAAACTCACGTGCTCGCTGAGGGCCAACAGGAGGTCTGACCATCATCACCACCCTCCCTTTGACCCCACCGGTCAGCTTGGCTCTGTGCGGCCCGCGGCCGCTTCTCACCTCCTTGGGCTCACACTCATGCTGAGAGGCCTTTTCTGTCTTTAATTTTCCACTTGGAGTTTAACCCTTCCTATACAGCCCCTGTTCACATGCTCAGCCAGTTTGTACTCTAACCTGGATACAAATACATTCCAAGAGGGAAGGATTTCTGTCTTCCCTACTGCTGAATCCCAGCTCCTCCAATGATGCCAGGTGCTAGAGACAACACAAATGAACAGACAGCCCACTGCTGGCACCTCAAAGGCAACACATTTCAACAGAGACAACTGCAGTGAGCATGTCCTGTGAAGGCTGAAGCATCATTGTATCTGACCACAGACTGAGATATACGACGGATGAAACCCTAACTGCACACAGTGGGGCTATCTGCTGCCTATCAAATCCCCTTTCCCAGGTTCACTTTCCTTCTTTTATCTCAATATTAATTTTACTGAGGCACAAGTGAACAAAAGGCCTCCACTCCTTTTACATGCAGAATCCTCCAAGAACAAGTATGCACTGGGCATCTGTAAAAGACTCTGGGTGTGCGTATAATTAACAGTCCACACTGCCACCACTCGCTCTACACCAGCAACAACTTCTTCCCTTCTGTCTCATGAGTATTTACTACCAATGCCGCAGGTGCAATAACTTACAGGTTTTCTAAAGGATGAACAAAAATCTCCTTAGAATGTGAAAAAGAGGCATTGTAACTAGTGCTTAAAAGACAGGGAGGGAACACGAATCAACCTCAAAACAGCAGGCAAGGCAGAAGAAACTTGCAGAGGCTGAAGCAGGCAGCAGCTCTCTGGCTCTCAGGCGGCAGAGCACATCTGCATCCTGCCTCCTGAAGGAGCTACCACCCCTTCACACAGCCACAAAACGACTACAGCAGCAGCCTCCCTGGGAACAGCCTTCCAAGGCAGAGCTGTCCGGAGCTAATGATGCAAGCCCGTGAGCGCATTTATAATCTGGGAAACCAAGGCAGGAGGAGCAAGAGTTCAAAGCCAGCCTAACAACTGAGATAGTGACACAAATAAAAGCCAGGCAGTGAAGGCGCACACCTCAAGTCAGAGGCAGGCAGATCTCTGTGCTTGAGGCCAGCCTGGTAGACAGAGTTAGTTCCAGGACAGCCAGAGCTACACAGAGAAACCCTGTCTTGAAAAATCAAAAATAAATAAATACAATAAAAATTCAAATTTGGCCTTGCAAATGTAATTTGTTTAAACTAATTTAAATACTCTGACATCATATGTTTCATTTGTTTACCATTTCCATAGCTGTGTATTAACTAAAAAAAGAATTACAGGACTTAAAACACGACAATCCCAGTTTCCATTTACTAAGTGATTTCACTAATTTAAATTGGTGTCAACCCTCTTCTAATTAACTTATGGAAATCATAAATCATAAACATATACACTTAAAAAAAGAATCCTCACCATTCATTTGCAATTCTGCAGCCGCTGAATCTCTCTTTTATATGCAATAACCCCCATCACATTTAATATGTAACATCAATGATCATTATTTCAATGCAAATGTTCGTGTTTGGCCGAAAACCAACATCAGAAGAGGCTCTTACTCTGAAGGAACAGCAGGTTTGTGTTCAGCTGAGAGGAGCTGTCGCTGATGCTCAGAGCTTTGTCTTGAACCCGAGGATTCCAACTGGGTCCAGCGGCCAAACGGTCCTCCTCCAGCAGAACAGCAACCACCTTTGAAAGACACAAGGGCAGGGGCTGGAGAGGGCTCAGCAGCGGATAGCACTCTCTCGCTAGGAACTTGAGTCAGTTTCCAGACCCCCAACGGGAGCCCACAACGCCAGTCCAGGGACTCTTTTGGCTTCTCAGGCCCAGAATGCACACACATGATACACAGACACACAAGCACACAAAACACCACACGCATAAAATAAAAATAAATGTTTACAAATTTAAAAAGAAAAACTATCCCAAAGATGAATCATCTTTCTTAAAATGCTAACACCATGCTAGCCTTTCTTTAAAAATTACCTTTTGTAGATTCTATTTCTATAAATAAATGTTTGGCTCCACTATACCATAATTTAAAAAAAAAAAAAAAAAACATCATTTTTGCATAATAATAGCAAACATAATATGTCACAGGATGTCTCTATTTCATCTAACATGTTGTTTCCTTGTTGTGGGTTGGTCTGATGCTTATATTTTGATGCTAAAACTAGCCCTTAAGACCTGGTTATTGCCTGGATACATACCTGTCCTTGTTGTGTAAACCTATCTAATTGGCTGATTAAATAGCCTATACCTGTGCAGGACAGAATGGGGAAGGCATGGCTAAGATTTCTGGGCTTTGAGAACAGGAGAATCACGGCAAAAAGATAGCCGGACAGAAGGAGTGGAAGGAGGAGGACACCTCAATGGGTTAGCATAGAGAAGGAACCAGTGGGCTGGGAAGAAGGACTCTGAGGATGGCATAAATGGCAAAAACACCAAATATAAGCAAGTATTCATAAGATGATGGACGGAAGGTAGCCCAAATTAGGACGGTTAAGGTGGCATTGGATGGGGGGCTAGGAGGTGGATGGTGAGGTTACTCAGATATGTAGGTAAAAATATCTGCCCAACCCAAGGTAAATAGACAATTATAAAATCTAACAGATGTCTATGTCTTATTATTTGTGATAGCAGGTTAAATAATACCACTGTAATAATTATAGGACAAAAATAATAAATAATATATGACCCACAAGCCCACTCTTATTTACAACATTTGTTCATTAAATACAATTAAAATTTCAGAGGGGGAGGAGGCCTGGACATCTAACACCCTCAAGCAAACAAGGCACGAAGGAGAAACACAGGCAACCATCACTCACTGCATCCTATGTCAGCATTCCATGTCTGTAACAGACCTAACCAGGTCACGTCTACAACGCAGAGAGACCCAGGAATGAGCAGAACTGGTGACAGGAAGGCAGGGACTGTGAAGCAAGGACTAGCAGGGCTGCATGTGAAGTTGGACAGAGGTGTAATGTGTACACAAGAAGCCTGTGAGATCAAGGCCGGACCAGGCTCCCCGGATCGTCATCACCTCTTTTCCTCTCCATCGCATCTCCCTCTACGCTGCACTGCACCTGAGGATGCTGTTCTTACTGCTGCCAAGAATTTTACACTAAAACAGAATCTAATAATAGTAACAAGATGTCAAGCCTAACCCTGTTTCTAAACCACAAACTCCTGTCGAACTGTGACCCTGAGGTAATCAGAACAGGCTGACAGACAAGATCAGCCCAAATCAGCCTGTCGGGCCTTAACATCATTAGGCTGTCTATGTCTGCTCTGCATTTAAAGTCTAAGGTTATATAAAAAGTTCAATACAATATATTAGAAATTATAATGTATATTATGTTATAATATAGCATGGATGTTATACTAACACAGGTCACACCTGTGTTAGTGAACTTTGTGACTATGCAGTTGGACTATTACAAGTCCATGGCCAAGTTATCTTAGGCTCTCATTAGCCCTCCTGAATGCCTTTCATTGCCTACCTTTATGCTTGTCCTTATAACCCTTACTACGGTTTGAGGTCTCCTAAATCAAACTAAGAATGTCATCAGTCAGTGAGGCCTCCATCACAGACTTCCTCACTTGACTGGAAGCCTCCTACCCACTGTTCTCACAGTGTAGCTGAAAAGTGCTTTGACTCAGGATTTTCTTTTGTTCTGAAACTATAAAAACTTAATGGAAATGTTAAGGTAACCTAAATCCATGTGCCCAGGCCAAAATCATTCATATTTGGCTGCCGAATAAACTCTCTTATTCCCTTAGAGGTGAAAGCTGTGTTTTTTATATTAAAAAAGATAATTTTCTTTTAGAGATTTATACTAAATATATTGAGGTAAAAATTATGACAATTAAGGGTTAGTTTCAAAATAATCAGGTGAATGATGACAAAAAGGACAAAACAAGGAAGCAGGAGCCAGGTGACATCTGCTACAGTATATGGAGCCTCGCAGTTAATTACTCTGGAATTTTCCATAGCCAGCTGATAAAATCTTGAGCTTATTATTTACAAATACTATATAGATTTATACTTACTTTACCAGCTTAACATGATTAGCTTAAGAGTCTAAGATTAGTTTCAACTGTAGGAAATTACAGCCTGGAGCCCCTAACCCACAGAGTCTTCAGTGACCTGTATTCACTAAGGTCATTTACATACAAGGACTTCATGGACGTACTGCTGGTGACCCACTGGAAAAGAACTCTCGGAAATAAAGAACTGATCTAATCCACAAGGACTGCAGGGTCTCGGCAGCTTCATTTCTGAACACAACGAACCCTGGAGTGCTAACACACGGAAGAGGACGTGCACCACAGAACACACCTGACATGCTGCCCGGAGAAAGCTGGACAACCGTGGTGTGTCAATCTTTGGGACGACGGCGACATCCAAGAAGTCTTTTTCTTCACTCCCTAAAACACAGGATTATTAAGTCAATAAAGGTGACTCCAAACAGTTACGCTTTTCAGGTCACAGCGTGCAGAGCAATGTCACAAACACCGAGAAGCCTAGAAGAAAAGTCCCAACACTGCACTCCACCCTCTACATCTACTGGCAATTTCCCCGGTTTCACTCTGTTTTACAGTAAGTTCATAAACTGCATCCGATTCACCTGTCTTGAGGAATGCAGAAAAGTGAACCAGTGTTTGCTGCGATGACAGGTCAAACTAAGGATGAGAAATCTCTAACACTTATGGTCCAGGGCACTCGGACCAACCAACCCTAGCATCTCTTTCTTATGTTGAAGCCTACTTGAGGATATATTCCTCGTCACGTAAAGACAATTACTTAAGAAAAGAATCAACCAACAATGTACACTCCACGGGAATAGCTGAGACCCCTGTGTTCTAGAGAGCTCTGAACTGCACTGACAGAACACGTCTTCCAAGCACACTTAAAAGGTAAAAAGTCTTTATTGATGAGGACAACTGGCCCAGTCTCAGACAGTTTTCCCACAGTTACAGGTGAGTATTTTGAGTATGGAATCTTCCCACTACACTGCAAATCCTGGGCAGGATCTGACAAAGTTCCAGGCCAATTTAATGATTCCCTATGATTCAACAGCTCTAATCTCATTCATTAACATGAGCTAATTTGTCTCTTCAAAGGAATATCGAAAGAGTGCTTCCATAGCCATGTACTAACAACGTCATCCAAAGAAACACATGAGAAAGAGCAGTTGAGTAAAAACAGAATGTGTTGTAAAGGGAGTAGACACTCAACATTCAGGGTTACCTCCAGATACAACAGTGCCTTCCCCTGGGTGCTGGGTCCAAACGTCCCTGGTGTCTATATCTTCAGTCTGAACATCTCTATCAACATTATCTTCGTTGTACTGAACATATGCCTTCAGACAAAAGCACGTTAGACTTGACATCTATTTCAGTTTCAGAGCAATTTGCCATTACTGAAAATAAAAGCAGCTACATTCTTAAACCAGCTAACCACCTTAAAAAATGTTAAGGTAAGCACTCTTGGGGTTGGGTCAGGTTGGCTGTGGGACTTCCTTGAACATTAGCTGATGTGGGAAGATCCTGCCTAAAAGTGGGTGACACAATTCCCTGGGTCTGGACTGTATGAAAAAGGAGAAAATGAACTGAGTACAAGTATGAATGTAGCTACTGCTCTACTGTTCTGACTGCAGAGGTAACAGGGCTGATTCTCTCAAGCTCCTGCTGCTGAGACTTGCCTGCTAGGGTGGGCTGTAATCTGGGCTTGTGAGGGAAAATATTCTTTCTCCCAAGCTGCTTTTGTCAGAACAACAGAAAAGAAACTGAAATACTTGTCATCTGTACCAATCATTCATCATGCCGAAGAGGCTATCTTCAGACTTTGCGTCCTCTCAGTATCATTTATGAGTATCAGTTAAGTTATGAAGGACACACTTTCTCCCAACCATAGCTTCAGAAACCATTTCCAATTCTAATACTGCAGAATAGGCACAAGGCACACACTTACACCATACTTTCATTTATCACTTAGATAACACATCTTTTACTTACCTGCTTGGTATTTTTTTTCCCAAAGTTCCTTATGTACATGTCATATTCATTTACTGGTGGTAGATCCAAGAGAGAAAAAGTGAATGAAAAGTCTAAATCAATAAGCCGGAGAAGTTTGGTACTTCGTGTCCTTTAAAACAGATTGGAAACAAGAATCAAACTGAATAACATACTCAGAGACAGGCAAGAAGGTATGTTTCAGGATCATGTGTAAGCCATTACATGACTCTAAAGTGTGCAATAATTATTTTAAATAACTAAATAGGAGCTGAGGGTATAATTCAGTGGCCAAATGCTCGCCTAACTTATAGAAGACTCTATGTTAGAGCCCGAGCAAAAAAGAAAGAAAAAAAAAACTAGATAAAAAGTCACAAACTAATGGTATGAATATACCATGAACCAAATGTGTGACTGCCCCACGGCAGGGCACTGAGGTTGAAAAGTCAAACCGTATGCACACCTGAATTTTCACGACCAGCAATTCACCTTTTTCATGATTTATTGTGTTGGCTAGTAGGATGACATTTCTGTTCTCCCAGCCAGTGGGACAGCCAGGTTTTCAGCCTACTTTCTCCTGAAGGCTACAGCAGCCTAATCCCACAGGAAACAGCACCTCACACCAGGAATCCTAGAAACTAGGTTTCTGCGTGTCCCATAGTCTTCTTTCCCAACCGTTTATATAGCTTGCTTGCTTGCTTCTTTCTTTTCTCTCTCTTTCTCTTTCCTTCCTTTCTTCCCCCCGCTTCTCTTTTCCCAGACACCCTAGTAGTGATGGGCCCCGGATTCACTATCCCTGGTCACCTCTCCCCAGGCTAATGCAAGCTGAGCAAGAAAAAGGTTCTCTTTTTTCCACTTACCAGCACTCCCAAATGCTGGTGCTCGATACATTATGAATGGGGAATGATCCTCCCAGAATCACTGCATCTTAACAAGTTAGGAGTTCTCACTTTCCTCCTCTCTGGTCCTCCACTCACAGAGTCCTTACAACAGCTGTCACTTCTGCATCATCTTATTCCCTGGCCACCATCCTCTAACTTTCTACTTACAAATTTCAATTCTGTCTCAAACCTCTCCAGCTACAAGGCCCCTGCCACAGAAGAACATTCTACATTCCCTGGCTGTCCGGACCTTCTCCCTGTGTCAGTGGCTCAGCTTCCTGTTTCCAGGCATTTATCGGCTGCTCCAGCACCAGCCTCTCCCTACCACACGCCAAGCACAGCACAATCAATGACAGCGTGGCACAGCTGATGCCCCCCTGTGCTTAGGCAGGTTGATTTCTTTGCTAAGAATACAGCATGATAACTGGGTTCTTGTAACTAACTTTGTCCTCTGACTTCAAGGCCTCTAATTTTTTCTCCTTCAATATGTCTTCACTACTCTTGCCTTTTAGTATTTGTATGTAATTTCCAGAATCAGCATCCTGAAAGGTCTGAATACACACACACCCTTACCGGGATATATAGTAGACTCCATAATGTTTACCACATTCCTGTGTGGAGACCTTCATGCAATCATGCCTATCTATTAATAGGTGACATTTTAATGGCAAATACCACTGAATGGGCTAAATTTTTATGCAGTATCTTTGCTAAATCCATTCATTATTCACATTTCTTAATATATCCTAGTTTTATCTGTAATTTTTTTCTATATAATTATGTAGCTAATGAAGTATAAATTTTGGGTTTTGTTTTTTTTTTTCTAATTTTATTTGTCCATTTCCACCTAATTACACAGAGTAAAAATGGTGGATACCACACCGACCTCCAGAACTGAAAAGCTAATTTTTATGAAAGTACTTTTGTAGGGTGATTATCAATTCATTCCATTCCGATTTGCTAAGATTTGTCACAAATCAGTGTTCTTAATGTCTGTAACCGCTGATACGACCACACAGTCTTCTGCTCTAGTGAGGTGGTAGGTGTCGGGGGTTCCTAAATCTTCGGTGTTACTCACTTTGGGGTCACCGTATGATAGTGACTAGATGTGGGGATTCTACGGTGGCTAATTAAGATTTGTTATCCTTGACCCGTCAGAAAGTGGGAGTCTGCCTGTCTGCTGAAACAGACATCCATCGTGATGAGTCAGCATGTGAGCGGGGTGGCCAGGCTGCCCCCCAGTGTCTGTGAGGGTGTGTGAGGCATTGCATCGGAGCTGCAGAGATGACTGCAGGCTCTCTGCCCACAGCGGGGTTGGGGAGCCCAATAGGCTGGTGCTCGGGAAGGACAAAGGCACTGGAAGTATGACTCCATTCAGGAGTCAGCATCCTCTTCTGCCTTTGGGCATCAGAACTCCAGGCTCTTTAGCTTCTGTTCTCAGGATCGAAGGATCACTAACCCACCAGCTCTCAAACTGTGCTAACTCTGAGAATTACACCACTTGCTTTGATATGAGGCTTTCAGACCCAACTGAGTCAGACTGTGGATTTTTTCTGTTTTTTCTTCATTTGGTAGCCTTTTGAAGGACTTCATAGCCTATGTAGTCAAGTGAGACAAAGTCTCTAATAAACCACATCAACACTCCCCACTCCGTATGTACACACACAGAGACACACCTTTTCATTTTCATAGTCATTAAATTTTGAATCAAAGTTTATACTGGGATCTGATGCCCTCTTCTGGAATGCAGATAGAGCACTCATACACATAAAAGGCATAAGTAAATATTTTTTTAAAAGGAAAGAAAAAGATTCATTTCATCTTTTAATGTTTAATTTTCTAACTTCTGGAAAATTTTTAAGTGAATTTTTGTTGATTTGGGGACTAATTCCATTATGGTCAATGGCACTCTATATTACTTTAGCCTATTGATGAAAAACTGTTTAAATATTATAAAACTCCACCATATTTTTGTCTTCACTAAATTTCTAACACCAACAAGAGAAGTTTGTTAAGAAAAAAAATCTATTCTCCAACCAAGGACCATGCATGGAGATAACCTAGAACCCCTGCACAGATGTAGTTCACACATGGCACATAGGGCAGTTCAGTGTCCAAGTGGGTTCCTAGTAAGGGGAACAGGGACTGTTTCTGATAGGAACTCAGTGGCTGGCTCTCTGACCACCTCCTCCTGAGGGAGGAGCAGCCTGACCAGGCTACAGAGGAAGACTATGAAAGACAGTCCTGATGAGACCTGATAGGCTAGGGTCAGATGGAAGGGGAGGAGGACCTCCCCTATTAGCGGACATGGAGAGGGGCTTGGAGGAGATGAATGAGGGGGCATGGGAGGAGATGAGAGAAGGAGGGTGGAATTGGGAGGGGATGAGAGAGGGAGCCACAGCTGGGATACAAAGTGAATAAATTGTAATTAATTAAAATAAATTTCAAAAATACATTTTAAAATTTTTTAAAAGAAAAAAAAAATCTCTGAATGTGTGACCTAGAGAGATGGCTCAGTGACTATGAGAATTTGTTGTTCTTGCAGAGGACCCAGATTCCATTTCCAGCACCAACATGGTAAGTCACAAATGTCCGTAATTCCAACGCCCTCTTCTGACCTCCATGGCGCTAGGCACACAAGCAGTGCACAGATAAGAAAAAAGCAGCACATTCATCTAAGGAAAAGTATTTTAAAAAGTCTTTTTCTGTATGCGGCCCTTCTTTCTCCTTTGGGTTTGGCTGGGTTTTGATACACTGCATGCTAGGTGACAACTGCTGTTTGGACACTCAGGGGGGGACTGTCAGCTCTAACAAGCTTGTCCATTTACCCTCATGAAGTAACGCAACAGCAGCCTTCTCATTCTTAAATCTGTCTCACATAGGTGACATCACATTATTTTGGTTAGTGTTTGCTTGACACATCTTTTCCCATCCATGTATTTTCAACCTTTCTGTGTCTATCATGTAAAGTTTCTTTCCTAAAATATACTGATTTTCCAGTTGTAGAAGATACACATATGCCTTTAATCCTAGCACTCAGGGAGGCAGAGGTAGGTGGATCTCTGAGTTTAAGGCCAGTCTGGTCTATAAAGTGAGTTTAGGCCAGCCAAGGCTATGCAGAGAAAGCCTTTTATGACAAAAAAAAAAAAAAGAAAAAAAAAAAATACAGTTTCCAATCTACATTATATAGAATTTATCGTGTTTTCATTATCCTACTTATTCACTTGTTATACTTTTTCCCCATTATCTTTGAATGGGTACCTTAAATATTTCAACATATACTCTTGCCCTACTAAAAATATAACTTAAATTAAGTGCTTTTTCTCTGTCTGCCAGGACCTTACAATAACTTACTGTCCCCGTTAATCTCCTCAATTCTTGGACTAAACTGTGAAGAAATTAATCCTACATAATGTTTAATTCCATAAGATATGACAGTCATTTATTCATTTAGAGCTGGTGGCTACCTGTTCATTAACTTACCCTTCCCTTTGTCACTCTCTCCTTTAGGAGTCCGTGTTTTTATCTGGTATCAATTGCTTCTCCCTGAAAAAGCCTATTGTTTTTTGTTCATTTTTGTTTTTTTTAACTGGTTATTTATTATTTATTATAATTTATTTACTTTATATCCCAGCTGTGCCCCCTCCCTCATCTCCTCCCAATCCCATCCTCCCTCCCTCTTCTTCTCCCGTGCCCCTCCCCCAGTCCACTAATAGGGGAGGGCCTCCTCCCCTTCCATCTGACCCTAGCCTATCAGCTCCCATCCAGACTGGCTACATTGTCTTGTCTGTGGCCTGGCAAGGCTGCACTCCGCCCAGGGGGAGGTGATCAGACAGCCAGCCACTGAATTCATGTCAGAGACAGTCCCTGTTCCCCCTACTAGGACTCCCAATTGGTTTTAGTACAGGTCTATAAGCAAGGAATTCTCATGGTTTTGTAGGGCAGAAAATGTGTGTCTCTTACTTTAATTTTTAAAGGACATTATTCGCTTTCAGCACTTGGAGCATGTTTGTCACTGCGGCCTATATTTTCCTTTGAAACCCTCCCACTTAAGCTGCCTACTCTAACCTTCAAACTGCAGGCTCCCAACCTCTCTGCTATTTTTAAGAGCCCCTGATATCTGGTGTTCAGCAGTCTGACCAGATTCTGTCTCACTGCACTTTTGTTGTCCTTCTTTATTGTCTACATTTATGCTTCTTGAATCTTTTAAAGCTTTGTTTACACTCATCAAGTACTGAAAATCTGCAGACAGTATGTCTTAAAACCCTGGTCCTTCTCTTCACCCTTTTCAGGATCCAATTATGCGCATCTGATGATTCCATTCCGTGTCACATCTCTGTATCACTTTTGGAGCTGCCCCCCCCTTCCTCACCTTCACTTCAATTTGGAACTTTTCTACTGCCCTCTCTCCAACTCTCTGGTCCTGCCACCTCTGATCATTTGTTATTGAACTAGTTCATCTACCCAATTTTTAGTTTCCAGTATTATATTTTTAGTGGAGAGTCCTAAAATTCTTTTGATTGTCTCATTGATATCAATGTTCTGATTAAATTCATTGCTTGTTAATTTGCTTATATACACATTAATCACATGCTATTTTAAATTTATTTTTAAAATATTTATTTTTAAAATCAAGAACTAATGACGCACGCTCAGGAATCACTTTTTAGTTTCTCCCTGGTAATCAAAATCCAAACAGGCCACACCAAACAGGTCCTACTGGGGTGATCAGAGGCTCAGTGTCATGATTTGTGATGTCAGATCTATTTCAAACTTGCCCTTATTCCTAGTATATAGGCCTTAGGAACTTAGATCCAAAATCTGGGGTGTTTACCGAGGATTCTCTTTCTTCAAAGTCCTAAACCTCACTCTCCACCTGCCCAACTGTAGGCGAAGGGCACAGTTTCCTGCTCTTGCTTTCTCCCTGACTTGCCCACCTTGAGACGCGCATACAGTCCCTGGAACGGGCACACAGCAACACAAGGATCAGCACACTGCGCTTCTGTGGCACTTGGTCCTTCAGTCCTGGCGGTCCTAGCTATTACTTCTTTGTCATGCAACAATCTCAGGATTTGTGGTTACTGTTGCTTTAGGTACAGCTTTCAGAGTTGTTTTTAGCTGAAGAGGTTTTTTTGTTGTTTTGTTTTGTTTTGACTCAAACTGTTCATCATAGAAAGTGGTCGACTTCCTGTCCCAATCCTCTACAACCCACTGGTCAAAAAGGGATGCTCTGACAGCTGTATGCTGCTCAACAGCATCTGTCATTAGGTAGATACATTTGAAACGTCACAGAAAACTGCCTCTGCAAAGGCCCTGTCAAGTTGTTACAGGCAAGATTTTATGCTATTCTCTCAATGGACACTGGAACACTGTCATTGTTCTAACACCTCATCTATTCCACAAGGGAAGTATTCATCTTTATGCATGAATTCATACTTATTAACAAAATACATTTCAGCTATATACTGACAGCAAGGAAAAAAGATTTCTTCTTCCTTACCCCTCTCACCCTGCTTGTTACGCCTCTCTGTGGCTCCAGGCCTTGCTCTGTGGCCACCATGGTTCAATATCCCTGATCACACTATCATAGACTTTGTGGGAGGCCAAATTCAAAAGTTATGGTCCCCGAGACACTGCAGAATATAAAATTTTAACTCATTTGAAAGACTGCTTTGAAATGAGTATTCTCATGTTCTCCATCCACCAGGGCTGCCTAGAGAAGCATTTCCCCACATTCAGCCATGCAGGCACTCGGCTAAAGCCATGGTTCAAAGGAATCTAATTAATGCTTGAGCTGGGCGCAGACAAAATAAGCCTATTTAATGCTTGGGCTCATGGCAGACCTTGGTTTTCATTACATGACAATAGTTTTGCAGGTGTACAGAATACAAGAATTGTTGGGTCCTGGAGGCTTCTATCTGTATTTTAAGAGATCAGTGCCACAGAGGCAGAGTACAAAATGAGCAAGCTCAATCTGCTTATCAAGATTCAGGCCACCACACATATAACTGTGTGGCTGTAGTTCCGCTGCAGTCAAAACAGGCCATGGGTTCTGCAACAGCCAGCCATGACTCTACTACAGGCATCAGATAGTAAGAACCCAGTATACAGAAGGCTACACACTAACCAGAATTGCCAATGAACACAAAGAATTGTAGTACTAGTTAAAGAATGTGACCAGGATAGCGATATAGCTCGGCAGTAGCTGAGCTCAGCTTGCCTAATAATCAAAATAGTGGGTTCAATCCCTGAACAATTTGCTTAAACAATCAACAATGAACATGGGAAACTCTAGTTTTAAGATCACTTTGAGGAAGACAGGAAAATGCACTAACACAAGTTACAACTGAGATTAGCTCAATGGGAGAACACTTGCCTAGAGCACACAAGGCCCTGGGTTTTATCCACAGCACAATATGCACACACACACACACACACACACACACACACATACACACACACATACCTGTGGCAATTTCCTCATATACCTACTTTTGCTTAAGGGCCTGACTCCGACTCTTTTGACGATGTGAGGCTGTTGCAAAATCCACAAAAATCCCACAAACAGGGGTTCTAGAAGTAGGACCATTTGTATCTACATACGAGAAGAGGAAAAGAAGCCAATTTGTGACAATGAAATAGTTCCTTCAAGCAAACAAATAAAAATACACCATTATAGTCATATATAACAATTGCACTCTTCAATCTCAACAATTTTACTTGAAATTCATAAATCACACTAGTAAGAGTTTTAGAAATATTTATAAATTGTCTTAGTCAGGGTTTTGTTGCTGTGAAGAGACACCATAACTAAGGCAACTCTTATAAAGGCAAACATTTAACTGGGGCTGGCTGACAGTTCAGAAGTTTAGTCCATTGTCATCATGGCAGGAAGCATGACAGCACACAGGCAGACATGGTGCTGGAGAAGGAGCTGAGAGTTCTACATCATGATCTGAAGGCTGCCAAAAGGAGACTGTGTGTTTCACACTGGGGGTAGCTTGAGCATTTTAAGACCTCTAAATCCGCCTCCACAGAAACACACTTTCTCCAACAAGGCCACACCTACTCCCACAAGGCCACCTCCTAACAGTAACACTCAAGGAACTCTTAATGGTGCCCTAAAAGGACAAGAAGAGCAATAAGGATGTGCCAAAGAGGAACCATTAGGATTTCCCTCAAGGGCCACCAGGTGGCACAGTAAATAAACGAACTTGTAAACAAGGTGACAACCTGAGTTGATCTTCAGAATCCACAAGATGGAAAGAGAACCAACCCCAGAAAGTTGTCCTTTGACCCCAACATGAATATTCTCTCACACACATATACACAAGAAAAAATAATTCATTAAATAAAATATCTTCCTTGAAATAAAAAGGTGAATGTCCTCAATTTAAGGAAAGAAAAAAAATCTTAAAGCTGCTAAGATCAACAGTAAAAACAAATTATCCATCCATAAAAATATACAGAATAAGAAATTCATGCTACATTGGCTACAGCGTCTTAACCTGCAAAAGCTTCCACACCAGTGCATGATGGGAGCCTAACTACGAGAAGGCACTACATTTATGTTGGAGAACAAGAACAGAAAATGTGCTCAACCTTACGACAAAGTGTTGCATCAGAGGGCACCTGGGGGACTAGAGATCACTCAGTGCTCTAGCCCTCGCTGTTCTTGAGGAGGACCTGTGTTTAGTTCCCAGCACTTATGAGCAGCACACAACTGTCCATAACTCCAGTTTCAGGGATTCTAATACCTTCTTCTGACTTCCACACGTACCAGGTATATGGTATATATGCAGGGCACTCACATACATAAAATAATAAACAAGCCTTTCAGAAAGCACTTCGGTTATGCAGGCTTAAGCAAGGGTCCCCCTTCACCTGCAGGGGAAGAAGTTCATTAGGGAGGAAGACACCGCCTAAAGCAATTCGTTAATTACAATAAAATCTGGCTCTCCTGAGAGATGCCAGGTGGAAACTACGTTAACAAAGCTACGCAGCTGCAGATATCCAGCTGTAATCCTAGCACTCAGACTCCAAGGCAGGAAAATCAAGAGTTGAAGGCAAGACTGAGGAGACTTCCAAAGAAACAAATGCCAACAAAAATGTGTAAAGAAAACTGCAGGGCTTAAAACAAAAGCACAGATCAACTTGGGCACTATGTGGAATGCCCTAAGAGAGCACACAACAAAGCCAGGTACAGTGTACACAGCCAGGAACTCACACTCACAAAAGCAAGTCACTTACACATGTTCCAGCGACCCAGCCAATGAGTGTTGGTGACAGCCATCTTGTGTATGGGATGAGTCCACCAATGTTTTATCTCAAGAAGTGAGAAAAAAAAAAAACTTGGAAGAAAAAGGGTTGGTATTTGAAGCCTCATTAACAATAACAACACATATGGCCTCCAAAATCTGCCAACAAAATAAAAACCTCAAGGTTTTAATTTCATCCCAAATAACCTCACTGCTTCACCTGTTCAGCTCACAGCACTGGTGGCTCAACAAGACCACCTGTGCCTGACCTGCCTGTGACCGTGCCCGCCACAGGCCCTGAGGATGACACAGTGTGGTCCCGGGAATCGCTAAACTGGTGCAGCAACGTTCCCCATCACGGCAGTAGCGGGGCTAAAGGCAGAAACCACTGGAAGCACTGATGTGTGGCACCAAGAATGACATTAAGTCCACCAAGGAGCCACTGGGGAGCCACAGGCATCAGTCAGGCAAGCCAAGCTGAGGAATGGGATTCTAAGCGCTCAGTGAAAAGGTAGAGAAAGTACTGAAGGCCACTGAAAACATCAGTAGATGAGGTCCTAGGAGAACTTGTGGGTCATGTTCAGAGCACAGGAAGATGAAGTAGAACCAGCAAGGTGGACGGTATCAAAACTGACCAACACTGTCTTGGCATTTCAAGTTGCATAGATATTAAAACACAAAATTGTAGACTATGACTCACACGAAACTCAGCATCAACATGTCCCTCATCATCACCAAAGATTCCCTCAGTAGCAACACTTTAGTGTGGTAGAAACAAAGGCAACTTCCCATTAAAATGTTCTTCCAAAAATGTTTCCAAACAACTGAGACTCCTTGCCACTGACACTGTTGGCTCCTATTACACAACCATTTATCATCATGCCCCAATGATCCGGGACATCCTGTCACAGGCAAGCAGGAGTCTATACCCCAGGGCTGTGTACACATCTCATTTAGAGCATCACTCCATCAAGTCCCATCAACACAAGATGGGTAAGCAGAAGACCTTAAGATGTTCTGACTGTGAAAGTCCACACTCACCTAGCTTTGGTTACAGCAGACTGCTGTCATTGTGCTTTTAGTGTTAATCTCTTACTGTGCCTACTTTACAAACTATATTTAATCGTAAGGATGTACAGAGAAGAGAAAATACAGAATCCACTGGGCTAGGAACCACTGCAGTTACAGGAGTCCACTGTTTGGGGAGGAAGAGAGGGTTGGGTAGGTGTGTGTCCACAGACAGCAAGAATGATACACTAGAATAAGAAAATTAGTATATAAACACAAAATAGTTAAAGAGCAGAAGAGAGTATAAATGAAGACTAGACCAACCACTTAATCAAAGTGTAGGTATATGCTTCATCAGGACAGCAAGGTTTTCAAAGATACGATGCCCTCATCATCAGGCTGAGAGAAAAGCAGCCTCTTAGGCTGTCTCCCTATGAAAACGGCTGCCCCCATCCACCACTTTCCTCTACGGGTTCCTATAAGTTTCTTGTTCTTACTTATCACACGTTTATTTTAACTGTATATAAATCCGTCTCCTCAGTCCTCTTGTGTGTTCAAGTTTAACACGAACATGAGACAAAGACCTGCCGTCCTGTGGTTCTTCAGGACGGCCTGCACACATAATCTCACTGACTCTTAAAACAAAAGAGTGATACAGAGTGTGTGGTTTTGAAGGAGACCCTCGTAGCTGGTCCAGACCAAAGTTCAAGTTTTGGCACCACTAAGAGTGTATGCCATGGACGTCAGTATGCCAACTACAATGGTCCAAGTAGACCTTGATAAAACTACTGTGCCAGCTCTTAAAGTGAGGAAACCCATCTCTGTCTTTAAAGTCACAGATGTAAACACTGGGGCACAGCTGACATCTTTGGAAGGGGGTATTTGACACTAATTCACCAACAGATGGAGATATGCCTTCTGGAGTGGTAAAAACTCTTTCAGATACTACAGTTGACTTTGGTGCACTGTAAAAAGGTATTTATCCGTTTCCTAAAGCCACACTTAAAAAAAAAAAAAAAGGTAGGATGAGTTCATAACCAAATAAGCCCCAGGATGCAGCAGCACATTATCCCAAAGCCATTCTAAGACAGCTACAGTTAGCTACAGTTAGCCAAGCAGGATACAGTTTGCTACAAATGTGGTTGCCAAACAGTAGTCATGGCAACATGACCTAGCACTCATGGGAACTACTCCTGCTTTTGAGTTCCTTATATATATTTACTTGTTTAATTATCAGTCTGCATAGGTCTTACAGAAATGGGAAAGCAAAGAGGTTAAGTAACTATCCTTTCTACTTAGCATTTACTGTCAACTTGACACAGCCTGAAATCACCTAAAAAAAAAAAAAGACACAATTGAGTAACTGTGTATCAGGGTTGTCCTTGCACATATCTGTGAAGGCTTGTTTTGACTACCTTAACTGAAAAAGGGGAGCTCAGACAGCAGTCCTGGCTAACTAAGGAAGAGAGCTCGCATCAGCCTACTGGTAAGTTAGACAGCAGGCTGGCAAGCAACATTCTTCCAGGGTCTCTGCTCCAAGCCCTGCTTAGGTTCCTGCCTTGACTTCCTTTAATGATGGACTTGACCTGGCAGTGTCTGCCACATAAATTATTTCCTCCCCTAAGGTGCTTATGATGTCAGTATTTTATCACAGCAACAGAAAAAAAAAAGAAAACAAACAAACAAACCCACCTAGAATACTGCTCAAGACCACGTTGCTGGCCAAGCCTACATGGCAAGATTTGAAACTCCATGATGGGCACTATTAAACATCTTCTGAGTTGCCTCCTCCAGTACAGAACATGGCTTTGTCACTGTACTCACCCTTGTGTTCTGTCCCCTTCTACTAGCTTAATTCTGAGGGAGCCAAAACCATAGTTCTTATTTTCCAGGAAACAATGTGTGTGAGTGACCAATTAATCTTGCCAACTGGGCTAAGGAAGAGATCACACCAAGCATGAATGGAGGAAATAGAAAAGGTTACTAATGAATCTATTACACAGATCTAAGTATGCTCCCAGTCCACCATGAGATCATGGCACCAGTACCTGAGCTATGGCCAATTCACACAGCAAACAGACTGGCCCACTAGCCCTGGCCTCAAAGGAGTACTTCCAGTAACAATCTACAGAACACTAAATATCCATACTGCCAACAGTTTCGCTACCCCTGCAGTGGGCACACACATGATTACTGATAACTCTTCCAGACTTCCACTTGCGTTTTTACACTGTCCTAATGCCTGATTGCTATTAGCATTCTTCATTGCAGACTATAAGATCATTTAATCTGGTAAGTCTACTATTTTCCCATGTTACCAACTGTGCTATTTTAAAAGAAAATTTTATCAAATGACACAACTTTTCCTTTAAATGATTTTAAAATACATTCTCAAAACTTATCATGCCCAGATGTCAAGAATTTTCAGAAAATACATTCTAATTTCATAAACAAAATTCCTTGGGAAAAGGTTCAGTAGGCAGGATGCTTCCTGACATGCTGGGAGTGCCGTCCTAGGTCTGCTGGCCACTCACAGGGCTCGCCTCTGTCCTGCAGTGTCCTTGGGCCTCTGTGGAGCTAACCATGGAGCAGTTCTGCCCAAGCCTGCTGCCAGGAACTATGGCCACCACTTGGTGAGAATCGAGGAGGGCATTGCCAAAGGGAACAAGAGCACGTGCCAACAGGCTGCAAAAGTGGCTAACAGTGCAGGGTGATATTCGGAGCTGTACATGGGGACAGCTACTGTCAGTTCACAGCCACCCTGAACACACGACTTGGGCCATATGTGGATCTCAGGAGTTGAGAGGCACATGGCATGGCATCACCTGATGCATCAAGGGTAAACTGTGCCCCCCCCTTCAGCAAATGTCTACACAGCTCTCAGAATATGTCTCCCGGTTACAAGTGTCCCTGCATACCTGCCCAGGGCTCCTTCACATACTCCATCCGACCTTGCTTCTGAAACAGTTTCAATGACAGCTCGCCAACCCTTTCATTCTCTGCACTGATTGCCTTTTGAATCTCTTGGATTTCCCTTTTCTGAGCTAGAGGAAGTTCTTCAGCCTTTTCTTTAGGGTCATGCTCATTATAGCTGTCATCATCTCCATCGCAAACCTCAAAATCATCTTCATAGTCCTACACACAATGAGAAGGATCTTGTTATTAATGATCAATGAGTCATTGAGTCAAATGAGTCAACAGTCACACACAACAGATTTATATACATTGTATACACATATACATTACAATTTATCATTTAAAACAAGAAAAACCTTATTATGGCGAAGGGAGATTTTTTTAATTTCCTGACTTTAAAGTTGCTGAATTATAAATTTGGAATATACTGCTGCTTTTGATATTCTGAAAATGAACCACAGGATATAGAATTATGCATAATAAGAAGCATTAACAATGTATAAACTTTGTACTAAGATTGTGAAGGATTATGCATGCATATAGTTAGATACACATATAGATGTTTGAATACAGTGCACTTAAAATGTGGTTAAACTCTAAGACACTGAAATTACCAAACACAGTGAGGACAAGCACTGATGGGAATGTGGTAAAGTTTGAATAGGAAACAACCAGATCTGCATCAAACCTTACCAGACATGGACCAGTGAGACAAGGCCTAGTAAATTATTACACATGCACTATTTTTTAAGACCACATTGTTAAACCGAGAAAAAATTAAGTTTTACACATACTTCAAAGTCTTCATCGCAATTGGCCAGATACTCATCATCCCCAGTAGCCTCTAAATCAATGTCTTCCCTTTCAGGATCCTAGAAGCAAAAGTTGAACATGAAACAAAACATGCAATCGTAAATTAACTATTGCAAACAAGCTGGAAATACATGTCTTCTAGGGTTCGTATGATGCTGTTGATTTAAAAGTAGTAATAAAACATAACAATCTTGAATTATTGTAAGAGATGCCCTTGTAAGAACACACTATATAAAAAGCTAAAGGGCTTTAAACTTCACCATAAACAACAATAACATTTGAGAGATGTTTACTCTACAGTGAACATTATACAATATACATGTGACCAGATCCAGATAACTGTTTCAGGTTCTATTAAAAAAACAAAACAAAAAAAAAAAAAAACTTTTCTTCCTTAACTCATGTCAGACATTTTGTTATACCAGCCAGAACTGAAAAGGGTATCAGACAGTAAATCTTAACATTATCAGGCCACACTGAGCAACCCTCTAGCTGTGGACCTCAGGATGACCAGAGGGACAGTGGCCATCAAAAATGATACCTTCGACTCCCGTTTCTTGTGATCCTCTTTGAAAGGTCTCTCCTTCTTCTCTGTGTGATTTCGGCGCCTCTCCTCATCATGGTGAAGGCCCTCCTTGTGCCGCTTCTCTCTGTGTCTCTCCTCCACCTCCCTGTCAGACAGCAGGCTCCCCTTTTCTTTTGAGTGTTTCTCTTTCTTCTCCCTTGTGCTGCTTTTCTCTCGGTGTTTCCTCTCCCGGTCTGGATCCTTCACCCTCCTGTGCTTCTTCTCACCTTCCTCCTTATAGAGCCAGTAGTTGAGAGGGTTCTCCTTACTGTCTCCGTACTGCAGCTTTGAAATCAACAAGGAGATCTGTGTGAGCAAAGGGTCCCGGCATAGCACGGTCTGTGTACACTATGATAAACGAAGCAGAGAAAAATCACACAGCTGGCACTGCTTGTCTTCCCTCAAGTCCCCTACCCACTGTCCTGGAAAGAACAGTCCTCATCCCACCTACACCAAGCAGTACAGAGCAACACCCAAGCCTAAGCCCTGTCTCTCCGATGTTGCACACTGTGGAGATTCCTCAGGATGGTGGCCTCCATGGTGGCATTGCTGGGAGGCACTGTGCACCTGCAGCACGTGCAGCCACAAGAAAGGCTGAGGGACTGTGGGCCTCATCTGGTCCTGCCCCCTCCTCCTCTCTGTTCTCTGACCTGGGATGCGGGTAGCTTTGCTCCACTATGCGGTGTCACAACGTGCCACCTCTCTACAATAGGGCCAACCAGGTATGGGCCAAGAGAGCCAATTCTATGACTCAAGTCAACCTTTCTTTTTTATATATTGCTTTCCTTGGATATGCTCTTTTAGTGACAGAAAACCAGTCCGGACACACAGCCAAACAAACAGCATCTGCCTTGTTTCTTTTTCCCCCACATTCGTAGTTTGTTCTCTCACCTTCTGCACCACTGCCGTGTAGTCACTGATGCTCTGTGACAGCTCTAGGAAGACAGCCCTGTGGTAAATGGCAGCAGCTGATGCTGCTGTGTCCCTCAATAACATGGTGTGCACTTTCCCTCAACTGCTCATTCCCACTCAGACAAGGAGCCTTGCAAAGAAAGGCGACCATTCTGTCACCTCCTCATCCTAACACCACCATCAAAGCTCATTCCCACTTGGAAGGAGCCTTGCAAAGAATGGCTGTTGTTCCACCATCTCCTGATCCTAACACCACCAAAGGTCAGTGGGTCACTCATGACACAAGTCACATCAGTTGTTGCGATGGTGTCCCAGCTCTGACTCCATCTGGGAGCCTTCAAGGCAGAACCTGAGCAAGCCTGACTTGATCCAGCCAGGCCAAGGGCCACTGGACTCCCTTCTTCCCTCCCTCCCAAGTCATAACTCAATCCTCTAAATTCCCTGGGACACAGAAGAGTCTCTAATCTCCTTCCTTGGTTCCACCCTGTTTATCTCGGCCAGCAGAGTATATCGAGAGAAAGAATCTCTGCCTGAGCCCCTCAGCTTCACAGGCAGTTCATTGCCTAAGATCACTTGCCAAATAAAATTAAAAAGCTAAGTCTAAAAGGACCTCTGTAGACCCACATCAAAGTCCAGACAGCTATTTACATTACTGCAGAGTAGGAAGAGGGTTTGTGAAGCATTCTGTCTACCAAAGGACAGACATGCCTATATCAGAATTGCACTTACTTAAAAAAAGAAGATTCTTCAAATCAAATTTTTTTAAATATTGCAACATAAGTGCCTAACAAAGAGTTAGCCTTTTCAACCATACTCAAGACTTGCCACGAGAAAGTGCTTGTTGCACAGGTGGTAAATAAGGGAGGCGTAGTTCAAAACACATAAAACCTAGGGTGCAGGAGGACTCCATCTAGTGTTCTCCAGCCCAGGATGATAAAATAAATAAACAAGTCGTTGACACAGGTGGAGTCATCTGAAAAAAAGGAACCTCAATTGAGGAAATGCCTAAGATCAAGCTGTAGGGCATGTTCTTAATTAGTGATTGATGGAGAAGGGCCCAACCCATGGCTGGTGGTTCTGGGTTCTATAAGAGAACAGGCTGAGCAGGACCCCTCCATGGCCTCTGAATCAGCTCCCACCTCCAGGTTCTATCCCTGCTGGAGTTTCTGTCTTATTTTGATGATGGCTACAATGTGGGATACAATAAACCCTTTCCTCGCCAAGTTGCTTTTGCTCTCTGTGCTCCAACACAGCAATAGCCAGCCCTCCCGAAGACAGAATGTCTTCGGTGACAGGCAATCACCCTATGGTAGAGATTCAACACCGTATGTGTATGCTGAAATGTCACACTGTGCCCTATAAGTGTGTTCAATTATTACTTGTCAATCACAAGTTTAAAGTGTATTTTCAGAAAGAACAAGTCCAGAAGCTTCATCTCCTCCTCAGGGAGTGTACCACGCGCTCCGCTGCCTCAGGCCTGGGTACCTTTCTTTCTCGATATCTTCTTTCTCTGTCGTCATCTCCTCTTTCAGAATCTTCCTCTCTCTTTTCTTTTTCCTCAGTTCGTATTTTAGTTACTAAAAAATACAACATACTTTTAATATTCCCAAACTTTATCTTACCAAAAAGCCAGCAATAACTTGCTATAGATTTTACTACTGCACATATGTTCATTAACTTGTATTTTAAAACATTCTTCAACTAAGACATATTCTCCCACTGCAAGGGTAACAAGTGCTAGTAGTAAACTTAAAGGGAAGATGAATATGGCCAAGAAACAGATACAGTTCTTCTTTCCTGGCAGTTCGTTACTGAGATGAACTAGTAAATGTCGGTGGCACCCTGGAAGTGGAGCCTTACAAATAACACTTGACAGGAAGCTGAAGCAATTAGGAACTGGAGGTGGGGAAACAGGACTCTACAGAGTCTGTAAGAGAAGCCACAGGTGAAGCTGGGAGGATGAACCAAAGTACTACCCAATACAACCATGTTCATAGCAGCTTTATTCGTAATAGCCAGAACCTGGAAACAACCCAGATGTCCCTCAACTGAGGAATGGATACAGAAATTGTGGTACATTTACACAATGGAATACTACTTAGCAATTAAAAACAAGGAAAACATGAAATTTGCAGGCAAATGCTGGGAACTAGAAAAGATCATCCTAAGTGAGGTATCCCAGAAGCAGAAAGACACACACAGTATATACTCACTTATAAGTGGATATTAGCTATATACTATAGGATAATTATACAAAAATCTGTACACCTAAAGAAGCTAAGCAAGAAGGAGGATCCTGGGTAAGATGATCAATCCTCACTCAGAAAGGCAAAAAGGACCGACATTGGAAGAGGGAGAAAACAGACAACAGACCAGGAGTCTACCACAGAGGGCCTCTGAAAGACTCTACCCAGCAGGGTATCAAAGCAGTTGCTGAGGCTCATAACCAAACTTTGGACAGAGTGCAGGGAATCTTATGAAAGAAGGGGGAGACAGAAAGACCTGGAGGGGACATGAACTCCACAAGGAGAGCAACAGACCCAAAAACCTGGGCACAGGGTTCTTTTCTGAGACTGATACTCCAACCAAGGACCATGCATGGAGATAACCTAGAACTCTGGCACAGATGTAGCCCATGGCAGCTCAGTGTCCAAGAGGGTTCCCTAGTAATAGAAACAGGGACTGTCTCTGACATGAACTGATTGGCCTCCTCTTTGATCACCTCCCCGAGGGGGCGAACAGCCTTACCAGGCTGCACAGGAAGACAATGCAGTCAGTCCTGATGAGACCTGATAGGTTAGGGTCAGATGGAAGGGAAGGAGGACCTCCCTTTTCAGTGGACTTGGAGGGGGGCATAAAAGGAGATGAGGGAGGGTGGGTGGGGTTGGGAGAGATTGAGGGAGGGGGCTATAGCTGGGATACAAAATGAATAAACTGTAATTAGTAAAAAAATTTTTAATTTAAAGAAAAAAATATACAAATAAATTTTAAAAAAAGAAAAAAATTTAATTTAAATTTAAAAAAAAAAAAGAAAAGAAAAGAAAACCCAAAGGGCAGGGCTTTAGCTCAGTGGCAGAGTCCTTGTCTACCATGAACAATAGCCTCAGATCTGTTTGAGCCTCAGATCTCCAATACTGCAATAGAATTAACACTTTGATGGAATACTTTTATTAAAGTGCTTTATTTTTGTTTTTCCATGGAGACTAAGACTTATTGAGATAATAAATTAAAAAAAAAGAATTTCAAAAGTTAAAAATGCTAGGCTAGTAAATACTAAGGAAATGGTTCCTTTATTGAGGAAATTTTTAAAAAAAAATTTCATAGTAAAAAACACAGAGGCTAGGAAACTGTTACTTTCTGTTTCCTAAATACAAAGTTAAAGCATACATGAAAACCTGAGAGAAAATAACTGAACTAAAAAAAAAAGTTCCTTCCAACAATGAGAACTTTTAAACAAAATGCAGGCCAAGAAAATGGCTCAGCTAGTAAAGGCACTAGCCAATCAAGCCTGACAAACCCCGAACCCATGTCAAAGCTGGATACAGCTGCTCCTACACACGATGGGAGGTGGAGTGAGGAGAGTCAGCCAGACCCCTCAGGCCAGCTAGCCTAAAGCACGTGGTGCAGCAGAAAGAGAGCCCATCTCAAAACTACGAAGGTAAAAGCCAGCTCCTGTAAGCTGTCCTGTAACCTCCTGTCAGAGTGTGGCACACATGTGCCTACACACACACACACACACACAGCCATCAATGGAACAATCAATCAATAGCAAAAGAAATATAGCTAATGAGACCCACCGGTGTAGACCTTCCTCTCCCCTGTCTGCCGGCCCCGCATTTCCCGACCCAGGAGGTCATGGTAGGTCATAGTTTGCCTGAGCTCTTCTTTCCGGGCCCTTCTCTCCTTCTCTCTCTCTCTGTCCTTGCCTCGACTGTAAGCCTTCTCAGCATCTTGGTCTCGATGTCTGTCTTTCAGCTTGTCTTTCTCACGGTCTTTCATGTCTTTCCTCCTTTCTTTGTGCTTCTCCCGGTCTCTCTCCCCACGAAGATGTTCCAGGGAGGCATACAGGTCTCTGTCCGCAGTCTTCTCCTTGTGCCGGGCCTCTCGCTCTGGGTCCCGGCTCTTGTGTTCTCTGTACTCCAGAGTGCCCAGTTCTGCCTCCTTGTGCATCTTCTTTTCTCTAACTTTCCTATCTTCCTTGGGACTACCTGATCGTACAGCCTAAAACAACATAAGCAAGATGTTCCTTGAGCATGAAAGCACACATCCATTTTACTTCCAATATCTGGACAGAAAGATTCATCTGAAACACTTTTTAAAACTCACTGACTGCAGCTGCTTTCTCAGTCCAGCGAGATGGGAGATAGAGCCGAACAAATACTCCTAGAATACTACCTGGAGTCCCACTGAACATTTCTACCAATGCTGACTGCTGACCAACCCAGGTACAAGAGATGGGCGAGGTCACTGGCAAATCAAGCCTGAAACGCAATATGGGAGGCAGGATGCAGCAGAAGATTGGCCTAGCCATAAGTATGAGTTCAATCTTAGTACTGCAGGAAGTAAAACAATAAAACACAACCTATAACTCAAGAGATAATGAAGCTGTGTTTTCAAGTTGCTGGGGCAAGAACCGCGTGGTTAGTACATGAACAATAAAGGCAGCTGGGCATGGTGGCACATGCCGTTAAGCACAGCACTCAAGAGGCAGAAGCAGGTGGATCTCTGAGTTTGAGGCCATTCTGATTTGCTGAAGTTCCAGGCCAGCCAGGGCTGGATGGTGAGACCCTGTGGCAACAACAGTGACGGTAAAGCCAAGCACAAGTGCAAGTATAATGCCAGCACTCATGAGAATGGGACAGGAGAATCATAGCCACCTCAACTCAAGGCCAGCCCAGGCTACGGAGGGAGATCCTGCTTTAAAGAAATAAATGAAAGCTTTACTATGAAATTCTCAGAAGAACTAAATCTCAACATTCAAGCTGGAGGAGCTACCAGCTGGGCTGACAAAGAGGACATCTCAGCCCCAGTGCAGGGCCACACCCCAAAATATTCCAGAAGTATTGACTACCTTGCTTCATCTTTGAATCAAAAATGCCTCTGAAATGAAATTTGTAACCAAAGCTATGCGAGGTTGAGCCTGGTCACACTGTCCAAAAGCCCATGAAGGTTGCTTGTGAAGCCCACATCAAGTCTTTAAAATACATTACCTTAAGGTGTCTTCTGAGGTCATCTGCTTTCCAAGTATCATCTTTGGTTCTTCTCTAAAAAGCAAAGAACAAAGTCAGAATTATCAAGTCAAACATAGTGGCACATAGCCATATTCTAACACTCAGGAAGCTGAGGCAGGAGGATTCTAAGTTCCAGCCAGCGTAGGCAATATGAGGAGGCCCTAGGGGAAAAAATTTAAAATAACAAATTTTGTAGTTCCATCATACTATTTGTATCAAAAATAATTAACAAAAAATACCTTTTATTATCTAGTTTTGCTTTCCTATTGAAATGAAAGATGACCCAAGTACAGGCCAAGAATAGGGCCCACATCTGTAACCCCCAGCACTGGGGTGGCCAAAGCAGGAGAATATAGAGTTTGAGGCCAATCTCAGACACACAGGGATACTCTGTCTCAAAACAAAACAAAAAAGATACAAATAAAGAGATGTTTAAATTATTCACTAGTATAAAGTGGTCCATAATTATTACAGACCCCTTTCATTGGCTATTTCAAAAACTATTACCAAATAAAAGAGAAAACAAAGTTGTAATAGCAGTTAAAGAACAGATTACGGGCAGGCATTTTGTGAGCATCTCTCAGGTGTCAAGAAAGATAGCTGAGCTTTGAAGAGCAGTGGCTGCTTTATAGGAAATCTGTGCCCAGTCCTAGCACCTACACAGCAGCTGACAATGTCTGTAACTCCAGTCCCATGGGCTCTCACTGCAGCATCTGGCCTCCTCAAAACACAGACAAGTATGTGCTACACAAACATACACACAGGCAGAACACCCATATACATAATTTATTTAAACAACAACAAAAAATACTAAAAAACATTTTTCAGATGGGCCACAATAAACTGTCTCATTCCAAATATTGAGCACAGGGCTGAGTCAGGGATTTCTGCTCCTTCTACTGTGGTTGGCCCGTCCTAGGCCAGAAGCATGCTATGTGGCTACCAAGGAACATGGCTCCCCGTGGTCTTTCTCAGGCTACCTAGCACAGGAGTTCAGATGTAAAGAAGGAAAGCAGGATAGTGGGAGAAAGGCAACACGTAGCTGTTCCAGCTAAGGCAGAGCAGAGGCCCCACAGGGTCGCTTAGTGGCCAGAATGTGACAGGATCCACCAGGAGTCACCATGAGCCCCAAACCTGTTTGTGACCTCAGATGTCAAAGGAGCAGAATTAAGCTATTTGAGCTGTGTGTTCTCCAATTCACGGTCCAGGAATACATGAGCAAAATTAAAAGATTACTCATGTTCTAACAGTTAAATTTGATCATTCCATTAAAAAAAAATAGAAACCAGAAAGACAGAATTTTCATTTCGCATCTAATATATATCAAATGGTATACTGAGTCGACTACACTACTTGAATCTATAAACCTGTCTCGGAAGGTAATGGGGACTGGAGAAGTGGCTCAGCTGGTAAACAACTTGCCTTAAAAATGTGAGAAACTTCCTGGCATGGTGGCACATGTCTTTAATCCCAGGACTCAGGAGGCAGAGGCATGTGGATCTCTGACTTGAGGCCAGCTTAGACTACAGAATGAGTTCCTGGACAGCCAAGGCTACGCAAAGAAAACCTGTCTCAAAACACAAAACAAAACAAGCGTGAGCTGCTAATCCCACACTCTCAGAACTCACGTTGAGAAGCCTAATATGGCCCTCTACCCAGCACCTCCATCTTCTAGGGCTTCAGCCTCCGGCTGTAGACCCAGTGACTCGCTTCATCTGCCCTGTGGCTTCTTTCAGCCTTTTCTTCTAGCATACCTCTCACCTTTGTGACCCACCAACCAGCAGAACCACTTTCTACCAGGGACCCCACCACTGCACAAGGGTGGTACCCAGGTCCAAGTAACCTGAACCATCAGTTTTCCCTCCCGCCGCCATTCCATCCTCTACAGATGTAATTTAGCTCTGCTAAGCCTGCCCACAGGAGCCCCACCTCCCAGCCCACCTCTATCCAGGAAGGAATTGACTTTTTGGGACAGACCCAGGGTCCCCTTACTTCCTTCTTGATGCCCTCTCAGCCGTCGCGTCTACCCCATTTCCATCCCTCTGTGACTCCCCATTGACCCACAGAACAGCTCTCTGCCAAGGACTCCGCAACCACCACGTTTGGCTGGGAACTAGAACTGCCTGTCACCAGGAATGCCACAACCACCAAATGTGACTAGGACTCAGGGATCTCATAGCCACCACTCTTGGCAACGACCCAGGGTACGCCAATGCATCCAAAGAACAGAACACACACGCAACAAAGACAAGACCAGATATCTACACCAAGAAACACTTCAAGCATCTGAACTGCAGATGCCTAGAGAGCACAAAAACAAACATGAACCACCAAGACAAAATGCCTCCTCCAGAAGCCAGCAAGTCTACTATCACAGACTATCGAGAAAAGCAATTTAGCTGAAGCACAAGACAGGGGTTTCAAAATAGCAATTACAAACACGTTCAAGGACCTTAAAGAGGAAGTGAATGGAAGATTTAACAAAGACTGTGAACACACACAACTAAGCAGTTCAAAGAAATAATGAAAACAATTCAGGGCATGAAAGTGGAATTTAGTAAAGAAACAGAATCATTAAAGAAATTCCAAACAGAAATACAATTGGAACTGAAAAAACTCAGGATCTCAAACAAAAACGTCAGAGGTAAACCTCTCCACCAGATTAAGACATGAAAGAGAAGATCAGGTCTTGAAGACAAAATAGAAGAAGTGGATAGCCCAAAGAAAAGGTTAAACCTAAAACAAAATCCAAGGACAAGCATCCAGGAAACCCAGCATACAATGAAAAGACCAAACCTATGAATAACAGATGTAAAGGAAGGAGAAGAAACCAGGTCAAAGGCACAGTAAATATTTTTAATAAAATCATAGAAGAAAAGTTCCCCAACCTAAAGAAAGACACGCTTATCAAGCTATAACAGCTATACAGAACACCAAGTAGACAGGACCAGAAAAGAAACTCCTCACAACACATAATAAACAAAACACTAAATGTACAGAACAAAGAAAGACTATTAAATGTGGCCAGGGGAAAAGACCAAGTCACATATGAAGGCAGGCCTATTAGAGTAAGACCTGACTTTTCAATGGAGAGTCTAAAAGCCAGGAAGGCCATTCCTTAAGCTCTGAACAACCAAAGATGTCAACCCAGACTACTCTACCCAACAAAACTATCCATCACAATCCACTGAGAAAGAAAAACACTAATCCAGCTCTACAGGAAGCACCAAGGAAAACTGCATACTGAAGAGAAAATTGACCACACACAAGAGGACACAGGGACTAAACAATTCCAGAACGGTAAATCAAGGGAGAGAAACCCATCCTAAAACAACATAATAAAATGAACAGACACTGCTCATTAACAACTCTCAAGACTAGTAGTCTCAATTCACCAATAAAAAGACATAGACTAGCAGATTGGATTAGAAAACAGGGTCCATCTTTCTGTTGCATCCAAGAAACAGACCTCACCATGAAGGACATATATCACCTTAGGGTAAATGGACAAGAAAAGGTATTCCAAGCAAATAGATCCAAGAAACAAGCAGCTGTGGCCATTTTAATATGTGACAAAATAGATTTCAAGCCAAGACTAATTAGAAGAGACAGAGAAGGACATTACATACTCAACAAAGAGAAAAATCTATCAAAGAGAAAAAATAGGATATTGCAGTTCTAAACACTACTTTATCCCCCTCACATACTGATAGTTCACGACCTCAGTACCTGACTCCCACCAGCAGATGGGTCATCCAGACACAACTAAACAGAGACATGTGGAGTTAAAAAAAAAAAAACCCTAAGTCAACCTGACATACCAGACACATATACTCCTGCACTCTAAAGAATGTACTTTACTTTCCGAAGCATGTGGAACTTTCCTCAAAACTGATCACGTATTACAACACAAAGCAAGTTTCCACACACATAAGAAAACCGAAATAACAGCCTGAATCCTATCTGGCCACCAATGGATTAAAGCTGAATATCAACAATAGAAATGACCGAAAACACAGACTTGTGAACAACTTACTACTGAATGAAAACTGAGTCAAGGCAGAAACCAAAATGGAAATTTAAAACTTTTTAGAACTGAATGAAAATGAGAATTCAGCATACCCAAACCTATGAGACACAATGATTACAGTTCTAAGAGGCAAGTTCATAGCATTAAGTGCTTCCATCAAAACCGGAGAGATTCTATTAGTGGTAACTCCATGACACACCTGGCAGCTCTAGAAAAACGAAAAGAAATAATGCCTCCAAAGAGTAGACCACAAGAAATCATCGAACTCAGCGCTGAAATCAATGACAGTGGAGCAACAAAAAAACAAGATGAAGAATGAAACTAAGAGCTGATTCTTTGGGGGGGGAAAATCAACAAAATGGACAAACTTTGTAAAACTGTAAACCCAGGAAACCTAAAGCTATAAAGAGAAGACCCAAATTAATTCATACTAGAAAAGGGATCCATTATAATAGACACTGAGGTAATTCATAGAATTTATAAGTAACTGATAGAATCATAAGTACATACTTTAAAAATCTGTATTCCACAAAACCGGAAAACCTAAAAGCGATGGAATTTTTTTTGATACATATGACCTACCTAAGTTAAAGTCAACAACCTTCTACCGTAAAGAGACTCAAAGGCTGCACCTTTCAGCGTTTCTGTTTGTTGGTTGGTTGGTTTTGTTTTTCAGAAGTCCTGTGCCTTCCTTAAGCTGACACCCGGCCATGCCTGTGGGTGACCGGAAACTCCTCCACAAAGCGCCCCGGAGCTAAGAAGTGAGGGCCACCCGCAGGGCTAGCCCCTCCACCCCAGCTCGGCCTCCAGCTCCGTCCTCAGTTCAGGCCAAGGCAGACGCCCGCCCAGCCGCGCCGCGAAAGACAGGGGGAACACGAGCGCGGGCCGGGCCCGGCGGCACACCGACCTTCCCAGGCTCCATCGCTCCTCGAGACCGGGCAGCCGCGCGTCTTCGGCCCCGCAGGCGCGGGCCACCCGGAGACCAACCTGCCGTCGATGGGCTCCGCCAGGCAGCGGGGCCCACGGCGACCCGGGTCCCAGCGGGCAGGCGTCCCCGCCTCCTAGCAACGGGCCGCCGTCGCGGGCCCAGCATGCCCCGCGGCTGGTCCCAGCACGCCTGCGCACGCCTGCTTCTCGCAGACACGCGGGAGCGGTCTGTTGATGGGTCTTGCGCTTACTAGTCTCCACCTTGGCGCCCACAGCTGACAAAGAGAAATGGGAAGAAAACTGTGAACAAGGCTTTGCCTCTTACAATTCACACTCCACGGACTGTATTTTAATGAAAGACATTGTGATCGGCTGTAGTGGCGCACACCTTTAATTCCCTTGCGACGGAAACAAGGGAGGAGGATCTTTGTTCCCAGCCAAGCTGTCTGTCTACATAGGAAGTATCTGGGAAGTAGCCGCTGAAAGATTAAGCAGTGGACGTTAGGTAACATTCTGAAGTCTCTCTGCAGACGACACATTCACTTTGCACACACTTTTCCAAGCCACATACTACTGTAACCCAGCTTTGAGTGTCCACTAGGCTCAAGACTCAAAGGCCAAGTCCTTGCCACACAAAAGGTATTAACAGATACACTAAGTCTTTCCCACTTAAAACTCTATTGTCTTTGTTTGCATTTCTTAGAAGGAAGGTAATCCTGGTGGTGGTTATGCTTTAATTTGGTCCAGTTCTTACAGCAATTTTTTTTTAAACTGGTTTTTGCCTCTGGCCAAAAAGAAGACTAAGCTTTTCTACATTGCTCACTGAGGCCTGTAGATGATCTGATGCCGAGCCAATCCTCTTAAGCCTTATATCACATTACACCTACAGCTGAAAGTGGACAGCACCACACTGTTGAATAGGAGACTGAATGAGAAATAAAGCCACTATCCACCATGTTAGAAAAAGTCACAGATACTGCAAAAAGGACAGCTTCCTCCATTACCTGCAACCCAAACCCGTTATACCGAGTGTAAACACATCCCCTTTTCTCCACTCTAGTCCCTGCTCACCCATGCTTCATCCCTAACAAACCCTCTAAAATGTAGTCAACCGGTTAAGTCACACAGCCACTGATTGAAACTAAAATGCACACCTCCACCACCGATGGCTCACTACCCAGGGGTAACTGTGAGAATAAACTCGGCTAATAAAACAAGTCAGCGGCGGATACGTGAGGGAACAAGGTATTTTGTGCTACTTGCACAAGGACACTATCCGCCACAGGAAGAAGAAGAGCTTTGTCCCTACCTGAGGTGGGCAGCTGTTGCAGAGTTAGGAGTAGCAGTGAGTGATCCTGGCTGGAGCAGTGGAGGCAGGTAGAATCCCCTGGATGTCATCTGGTGTTGTCTCGGTTGTCTCAGTGGTCAAGAGGAGGACCACCAAACGAGCATCACTCATGACTGCGTCAGGGTTTTCAGAGTGCACAGATGCAGCAGATCTCCCAGAATAAGGCCCAAGTCTGGGGCAAGCACAGGGATTTCTGCAGCTGGGATGGTCTTTCCCATTGCCTCAGCTGAATCAGGCTCATCCGGAGGTGAGGTTTCCTCATCAGTTGTGATGTGTCTAATAAGAACACGTGCAGATGTAACCGCCCATGGAAGAGGATGAAGAGAAGCTGTTTGCTTGGCAGCCGCCATGCTCTGAAGCTCTGGTTGGTATTGAACCTTGAACTGACAGATCTTCAGCAGCCTGCAGCATCCAAACAGCAATAGTGCACAGGTTCTACTCCCAGGAGGGCAGGAATCTGACAGATGTCCACCAAGAGGCCATCAGACCATCCTGGGCAGCTGCTCTAATAAAGAAAATGTGCATGTTCCTAAAACCAGATGGGAGGGAGGCCGAGGCAAGAATATTGTGAGTTGAGACACTAGGCTGGGCTCTACTGCAAAACCCTGCCTCAATCAAAATAACACAATGTGAGTGCCCACAACAAGTATCGGACAGAAAGGCCAACGAGATGACAGAGCTGGTGGGATGCTTGCAGCCAAGCCTGGTATCCAAGTTCAACTTGCAGTCCACACACGGTAGAAAGAGACAGAAGAGGGGCTAGATCCCGTGGAATTAACTAGATCGTCACACCTCAGTGTGTTTGCAGAATCAAGTGGATTTTCACCTAGAGATGACACTAAAACAATTATTTTCCTAATATCACACTTACCAATCAATCATATATGTCTTACAATATTTTCCACATTTGCTTCTTCACTGGAAGATCCTGTGAATTCATTCTGATGACCTGATAACTTACCAAGTGCTATAAATAAAAAAAAGAAACATGTTCTGGATCTGCAGCTGCTCATAGCTATTGAGAAAGATTATATAATCATTTATTAAATAATGTAAAAGTCAAGAGCAGCTTATACATTGCAATGAGGAAAATAATATGTCTAGAGGAAAAGAACAAATTTAGGACAGGCTTCAGTTTGGTTAGAATTTTAAGTGTAATTAAGAGACACTCGGAAACAAACACTTTGAGGGAGAAGAACAAAACTGGATACAGGTTTAGAGGGAGGAAAGGATCGGAGTGCTCAGTACTAAATAACTATTTAACAGAGCTGTGCAGCTGAAATACAATGTGGGTTTTTCTAGTGGGGACGTGTGTGTGTGTGTGTGTGTGTGTGTGTGTGTGTGTGTGTGTGTGAATCACACCGGCATTCAGACAGCACAGCAGGAAGCCCAGCACGCCTGTGAGGACTGGCAATGCTATGCTGGAGTGCCCCTCCAGCAGCGGGAAGGAGACTGCATGAATGCCATGACTTCCCTTGTGGTCTCCTCAGGACAGGACAGAGAAGCCTCCATCCGGGTACTGCACTGTTGTGCTGCACCACAAGTCCTAATACAGCCTCTTGCTAGTGGTTTTACTTTTCTTACTTGTGACTTAAATGTGTAGAGCAGGCAGAGTGAATTATACTGAGAACTGGAAATAATAAGGGCTGCTACCTCTTGAGAACAGCTAGCAAGACAGAGTCCTGGCAAGCTCTCCAAGAAAAGCTGCCGAGAGAGGTGCTACCCCTTAGCTGCCAAGAGAGCTTTAGAGAGAGCTAACAATGACAGCTGAGTCTCTAACACTCAAAGCTGGAACTGTTGAGACCCAGGTAGCTGCACTTTGCCTGTGCATGATTCTTATCAAAATTAAACAAAGGACTCTCAGGCAATAAGCTAGGCCACTTTGGCACCCACATACCTGCTCCATGACCCTGTTCTCAGGCCGTGGCTCCACACTGCCACCCTCAGCAGGCTTAGGAGTTCTAGACTTTAGAGAACCCCAACTCAGGCTAAACTGAAAGTCATGGCTTTGATGCTAAAGACAGTTTCAGAATTAGCCAGCATAGTAGAGCTGAGGATTTTCAAAGACATTTTAATACAGGCGTAAGCACAGGGCCAAGGTAAAGAAAGACACTGAGAAGAGAGTAAGACACACTCGAGTGCAGAATGGGCTTCTCAAGGGGTCGGAGCAGGTAACTGCCAGCACTGGCCATATGCAGCACGTCAGTGCCTCCAAGGCACCCTCAAAGGGTTGCTAGGAAACGTCCCCCTTTCATCCGATATGTAAGATAAATGAGGTGGCTCAAGGATGTCTTGAATGGGAGTATAATCTGGTAAGGCAGAAGTAACAGGCGCCACTGGAATTGCACACAGGAACTGGTACATGTGTCTCCCTGTCAATGGCATGATTTCACGTGGAAGGGGAAACAGGCAGCGTGAAGTTAACTGGGCTGAATATTTTGTTGGTGAGAGACTTAAGCCACACTCCTGTGAGGAGCTACTTGCTCTTCTCGTGCCTCCAGAGTTTTCTCTGCCTTTCTACCTTGCTTCAACCTCGCTCAGCTCTCGGTAGCTGTTTTAGACCTTGTGCTTCAATTTCTTATTCTATAAATCAGGGATTGCACTATAAGTTTAAAGCAATCTATGTATTGAAGACAAAAAGGACCAAAACCTAAGCAGAAATTCCAACACTTTAAGAATCAGATCAGATACTCAAGAATCTGACCCCAGTGGCTTGTGATGTCTTAGACAAACATTTAGAACCCAGCTCCCAATGATCCACATCTTACTCCAAATGGTCAATCTCAAGAAAGCTAACTGATGCAGTATAAAATGTACTATTTGCCGAGATACTGAGATGCTGACTTGCCTATCCAGACACAGACCGCGAATGAGCAGCACACCAAGTTCACCTAAGTGTTAGCATCCATTGCCTCTCAGGGAAAAATTATCTGGGGATATTTAGTGCCTGTGGCTCTGTATCTATGTGAATTTTATTTAATATTTTTATATCTGTTCTAGCCTAATAAATAATTTTATTCCTGCACCTTTGGTTTGCTCCATCATCCCCAGCATAAAATTTAAGTGTCCTGGATAAGGAACTCTCTCTTTCCCTCCACTGATCTCGCTTTACTCTGTGTTCCTGGCCATCAGGTGACCAGACTATGGGCTGGCTAGAGCTGTGTTCCAGTGAGACTCAAAAGCCTCCTATCTGTGACTGTGGACTGCTTTCACCTATCAGGTACAAAGCTGCTTCCAGGCGTTTGCATAAAGCCTTAGTTTCCATTTGTAATTGGAAGGATCCTGGCTGAGATCACTCTATACTAAAACCTGAAAGGCAGCAGAAAAATGAGGATGAGCACGGTAAGTTGCTGAGGGTGAAGGTCTGTCAGCCTTGACTTTCTTCTGGGAGCTCCTTCGCTCTCAACACGGGTGGCTGGAAACAGTAGCTCATCCAGGATGGATCAACAGATATTTTGAGAAGTCTGTCTTCTCCTCTATCACTCATCTTCCCTGTCCTAGCATTTGCTACCACTTTCTGGGGCAGTGAGGAGACTCTCCTGTGACTGGTGTTGCAGGGACTGCTGTTTATCCCTCCAGCTAGACAGATTCAAGACTTATGGGTACCCAGAATTTTGCTTTCTCCAGAATGGTGTGATTGCCCCATCCCATAGACAAATCATCACTAATTCATAGCCAGTTTCAGTTTTGTTTTTCCTTCAAGGTAAACCCAGCCTGACCAACCAGGTAGGCTTGGCTCTGGACTGAAACTAGGTTTCACCTTCTCAATTTGAGAGGATCTCTGTTCTCAGGAGTCACCCCA